AGGTTTTCACACTCATACTCTCAACCAGCATTTTCATCATTGTTTGTATTTTTATATTTTATGTTTGTTGTTGTTATTTGTTTGTTTGTTTAGTTAGTAATAAATGTTTTGTGCGTACACAGTTGTTTCCTGTGTTTTCTATGGCTTACATCCAGTCACTTTACGTATGTGATCTTTAGTTACCTAAGCTCTAAGTTAATTCCCTTAACTTTACAAAACACTCTTGACTGATCACCAAGAGTAAACAACTATTAGAATTGTTGTGCTGACTCTGAAATTATATCGGTGGACGATTAATTTAAAGGTTGGTATTAATAATTTTAATTCACGCAATCATTTGCTTTAGTGTGAAGATAAGTACATCTTATTTTCCACACTAAAACCCTACATTGTGTTGTTTATTCTTAAATAAAAGCTTGAACACATGCATCCAGTTTCTGTGTTATCGCATGAAAATTAAGATTAAAATTCACTGTGACGCTAGAGGGGGGCCAACTGCAGTCTTGCCGAGAGCACCAAATTGGTGTGGGCCGGCCCTGACACACTTTGACATTTGAGTATTGAATGGTGTCCTAATCAAGATGTGTTTGATGTCACAGGTGATTGGCAGGAGGAAGAGAGTCTGACGGAGGAGCAGAGGAGCGTTGGCAGCCATTTTGTCTGAGCTCAGCACTGGAGGAAAAATGGGTTCTTCACAAAAAGTGAGAAACATATCACTATAATAATAATACTTTATTTTCTAAAATGTGGTATTTATGGGCAGGATCTGAAGGCACAACCGTGGTGAGGCGGGTGTCTAGTTTGTGGACCTCTGCGTCATATCTCTGCTTTTTGCAGATGACGTGGATTTTTTGGCTTCTTTAGAACGTAAACTTCAGCAAGCACTGGGGGCTGGACAGCCCTGGGGGCAGCTGAAAAGAACGTCATCACACGAGGCCATGGTTCATGTCCAGAAACCAGCCAAATGCTGCCTCTGGTTTGGGATGAGCTTCCTTGTCAAATGAAGGAGTTCAGGCATCTCAAGACGTTGTTTGTGAGTGATGGGAAAATAAAGCAGGAGACAGACGGGAGCAGCACTACTGCAGGCATTCTACTGGACTGTTAAGGTGAAAAGAAGCTGAGCCGGACAGCGACGCTCTCCATTTGCTCGTCCGTCTTTGTCCCAACCCTCACCTATGGTCACGGTGTCGGGTAGGGGTGTGCAATAAGACGATATTAGATCGTGAACGATTTGAACATGTAGACGATCTGCCAAAGTGAGGAGATCGTATGGATCGTTTAGGTACCATTCTATAAATTACAGTTCTATGCTGATGCACGGACGCACCGGACCGCAGCCAGAGGCAGCAACTGGACCCAAACAGCTGAGATGGCAAAAGTACTCACATTCTTTACTTAAGTAGAAGTAGAGATACTTGTGTAAAAATAGACTCTGGTAAAAGTAGTAGGCAGTGGTGTGTTGAGCTTTAGTGACAAATCACACACTGCTGGAAAAGATAAAGACATTTATTGTTACGTGTTTTACGTCGTGTCGTCATCCGCAGAGGCTGAAACAAGTAACGAGCCAGTTTTGAGAATGTAAGGAGTAGAAAGTCCAGATACTTGTGTTCAAATGTAGGGAGTAAAAGTAAAAAGTCATCAGAAAAATTAGTACTCAAGTAAAGTACAGATATCTGCAAAATCTACTTAAGTACAGTAACGAAGTATTTGCACTTCGTCGCTTCGTTACTTCCAACCTCTGCCAAACAGACAACGTTAACACAGGCATTTGCTAAAGGCACTCCGTCTGAAAAGACAAGCAGGCGGTGGAAAGAGGTAACAGAAGCACTTACCTGCTGAGAAAAGACTGAACGCAGTTCAGATTGTCCAGTTTTACACAACGAATGGTCTGTGGTCCAGCCACACTTAGTCTCAAAAATACATGTAAGATCGCGATGAAATCAAAATCGTGATTTTATACGAAAAGAATCATGATATGATATTTTTGCCATATCGCCCACCCCTAGTGTCGGGAAGAATGACATCACAGATACAAGCAGCTCAGGTGAGTTTCCCCTGCAGAGGGGCGATGGTCAGCCTGAGAGATAGGGGGAGGAGCTTGGAGTAGAGTCGGTGCTACTTTGCGTCAAACGGAGCCGGCCGATGTGGTTTGGGCATCTGATCAGGATTCTTCCTGGGCTTCTTTCTTTGCGGGTTTCCTGGGCACGTCCAACTGGGAGCAGACCCCGAGACGAGACCAGAATTCAGTGGCAGAATTCCATACCTCATCTGGCCTGGTAACAACCTCTGATCCCCCAGGACCTAATGGAAAGTGTTGTTGGGGAAAGGAACGTCTGGAATGACCTGCGTAGCCTGCTGCCACCGTGACTCGGCTTTGGATGTCAGTGTTGTGCACTTTACATTTGGTAAACCGATCCAATGATGTAACTTAACAAAAAGTGTTGGTGGTTCAGTCCCATCAGTCCCTGCTCTACTTTGCACTTCATGGTGTTTGAAAATGTTACTATCCTAATATGCTCAAACTCCAATTGAGTAGGTTGAAGACTATGGACCAGTGAAACATTTCATGCTTCCATTGTGATGGTGTTAGCATGCCAACGCATATAAGTCTGACTTTTAGGTAATAAAATGTTGTGATTGCATTTCACTCAGTTCCTATGTTTGTATCTTTGTCTGTCGCTACAGAAACATAGAAGCAAGCTTGGAGTGAGACGTGTGAACTGTAAGGAGGAGGACAGAGGCTCCCCAACAACAGCCAACAGAGATAAATGGCTCAGTTGTGAGCAATGTGGCAAGAGTTTTAAGACAGCAACACAACTAAGAGTTCACCAACGTAGTCACACTGGGGAAAAACCGTTCAGCTGTGACCAGTGTGGGAAGAGTTTTACTCATAGATATAGTTTAAAATCCCATCAACTC